TCCTTAATTATGAGATTGCAGGGAGAAGCTCTGAAGTCATCCTAAAAATATTTACTTAGTAATATGACAGATAAAATATCAGTAAATGTCCCATAATCTCCCTATTACTGTCTTTGTTGGTCTTTTGCTGATTGTTATATTTAAAACAGTATAATGCAGATACAGTGCTTATCAGTGGGAATAGGAAATTTATATACAAAGGATACAGGATTTCACAAAACTCTAAAATGATGTTAGAGAACTGGTCAAGTTACATATAAAATCATTGGCAAATGATGATCTGATTGAGTTGGACAAGTTATCTGTTAGGAAAAAGAAAATGACACAAATAATGACATAATAGACACTTCTCAGAATTATTTAAATATCCCACCCAACTAAGGAAAAGCCTTTTGGAAAGTTTATAAAGCCTTTGGACATTTATACAAAAATGACCCTCTTTTTGGTTGTAGTATAAAATTCAAATATGAAAAAGCGATATCATATATCAGTAATTTCACTGAAAAGATTATTCAAAAATGCAACATTTAATTCGTTTTTGTTCTAAGAATTTGCATACAGCTAAGTAAATGGGAAAAAGGTTATTTTCATGATTTTTAGGGGTTTTTTAAAGGCATTCAGCATTTTATATCATGTGGGCAATGAAATGTTGGTACCTGTTTTTAAGAGCATTCACTTTCAGTTGTTGTCATCCTGTACCAATTATCCTCTGATAATGAAGAACTCAATTTATCCAGACATCAGAGCTGTTATAGCCCTGTGTTGGAATTTGGTGGGGACATTGGAGAAGTTCTATGATTCAGAGACACATAAATTTCAGTGTGTTGAAGAAATGTCTCCTAGCTATCAGAGACTGTAGAGTTATAAATATTTTCTAATTATTAACTTACTGGGCCATACTGAGTTTGGGAGGAATGGGCAACATCTGCAAGGACTTGTCAAATATTTTACATTCTCTGCACCTACTTTTGCATATTTTGGGATAAAAATTGTTCTAGGTGCTCTAACTCATCTCTTCCTACATTCTTTTTTTTTTTTTTGGATACCGGAGATCAAACTTGGGACCTTGTGCTTACGAGGCAGGTGGCAGAATCACTGAGCTAACACTGAGCTAAATCCCCGAGTCTCTTCCTACATTTTTAATGTTCTGTGATTTATTCTCTTTATTAATGATTCTCTAATACTAAAAATTTTAACAAGTAATAATCTGAGGCAAAAATGAGCCAATGTAAGTGAAAGGTTTGAATTTTTCATTATGATAAACTCAATTCAGAATTACTAGCTTTTTTGGGGCCAACATTATATCCTTTCTACATTTTTTTGTATCAACATATCCTTTTTAGGAACTTTTTTTTCCTGGTTTTTTAAGAAGGGTCTCACTGTGTAGTTCAGGCTGGCCTCGAACTCAGTGATCCTCCTGCTTCAGTCTCCCGAGTACTGGGATTACAGGCATGTGTCACCATGCCCAGCTAAGCAACTATTTGTAAGTGATCTATTAAAAAAAATTAAAAGGCTGATCCCATAGTTGCTTTATTTTCTAATGAAAATCCAAGAGTTTGGGACCCTAACCATTTCAGAGATCTTCCTGAAACTTCAATGTACTCATCTCACTCTCTTATTTAAAACCCTTTATGTAGACCACTGTGACCCACAGCAGTATATCCCCACTGAGGTTTTTAATCCATGTTTTTTTTTTGTAGACTGAAAAAAAATCTTTGTTTTATGTTTTTTTGATTGTTCAAATGCATGAAGATAATTTACGTAAAAAGTTTAACTTTCTTGTATTTTTTTTGTATTTTGTATTTTTTGTATACAAAAGATTTTGTATTTTTAAAAATATTTTTGTTTTGTGGTGCTGGAGATTGAATCTAGGGCCTGTTGAATGCTAGACAAGTACTTCACCCAGCCCTGAAATATTTTTGATGTATTTTTCTCAGTCTTATAATTTCTGTACTTTAAAAAAGCTTCATCAGGGAAGTGGAGGCAGGAAGATCACCGAAAGTTTGAGGCCAGCCTCGTCTGCATAGTGAGTTCAAGACCAGCCTGAACTACATAAGCAAGCACCTCAAAAACAAAAACAAAATAAAATAAAAATAGAAAGCCTAGGGGCAGGGATTTAGCTCAGTGGCACTATGCCTGTCTCGCAAGCACAAGGTCCTGAGTTCAATCTCTGGTACGGGGTGGGGGAGCCTTTCAGTAAAGGTAAATCTATAGGAGAAAAAAATGGGCTTGATGATATAAGAATTTAAAATTTTTTTTGGTACTGGGGATTGAACTTAAAATTTTGATATAGTAAGAAAATGTAGAGACTACATTAAAAGGTAAAAATATATGTGGAAAATACATGAAACACTGTATTTGAAAAACTGATACATATTATCCTTACTCTAAGGAGATTTTATAACTCAATAATAAAAACACTAATTGTAAAATCAACAAGGAACATGAACAGCAATTCATAAAAAATTTAATTTTCTAATGTGAAAAAGTTCAATCTTAGTAAAAATAAAACTTTCATCTTAAAACAAGATATTTTTTCTTGCACTTAGCAGAAATTTTTTTTTTTTTTTTTGGTACCAGGGATCAAACTCGGGACCTTGCATTTGCGAGGCAGGCGGCGGAACCGCTGATCTAAATCCCCAGCCCAGAAATTTTTTTTTTAATCTGTGGCAAGAGTTTAGGGAGATGGACACTCTCTTAACTGCTGCTACTGGTAGAACAATGTATTGGCATGTTCTTTTGGAGGATAGTTTGACTGTGTATCAAAAACCTTATGTTTTTAAAAATTCCTTTTTAGCTAGGTTCAGTGGTGTGCACCTGTAATCCTGGCTACTTGGGAGGCTGAGGTGGAAGGATCACTTGAGCTCACAAATACAATACCAGCCTAAGAAACATAGTGAGACCCTAGCTTAAAGGAAAAATCTCTTTTTACTTAGAAATACATTTGGGGGGTGCTTAAATAAATAAATAAGGGTATGATTGATATTTGGGTTTAAAGATGGTTTTATCTTAGTGTTCTTAATAGAAAAAAAATGTAAATAATCCGAACATCTAATAATTGCATATCAGTTTTAAAAGAAAATGATTATGATTCACACCTACAGTGAATGTTGTTCGGCCATTAGAAGTAATTTTTGTCAGGCTGGGGTTATAGCTCAGTGTTAAGAGTGTGTGCTTTGCATGCACAGGGCCTTGAGTAAGATCCCAGCACTGAAACAAAAAGTTATCTTGTCAATAACAGCTTAAAAAAAAAAGAAAGAAAATAATGATTTTATTGATGAATTTAATGACATGGCAAAATATGTGAGATAACATTAGTTTAAAAATATAGAAATTAGCCTAAATATCAGTAGCAGTAGTTATTCTTTGTGATACATTTTTTTCAACTTAAAAAATATTTTCAATGGAAATGTATTTCATAATTAGAATATGGTTATTGGGAATCAGTCACTGTGGAACAAATCCATGGTGTATCACCCACTTGTCACTGCTTTCTCACATAGCATTCTTTTTCATACCACTGTACCTCTGCTTACCTCTCTCAACACTTAGGGTATTCCTGCTCATTTTTACAGTCAGTTTGAATGATACCCACCATAAAGTCTTTCCTAACCACTCTCTTTCCTTTGCTTATTTCACACAATTACTTTATGTAATTATATATTTATAATGTTTTCTCCACTAGGTAGTAAATTCCGCTCATTCCTTCATTTAATAAATATTTGTTGAATGCATATGTACCTAGCACTGTATGTGTTGGGCACTGCAGATATAACCATAAACTAATTAGGTTCCCTCTACCATCAAGGAGTTTATAGCCTTGTAAAGTTATTTCTTATACTATAGTATTAAGTATTTTGATAGAAGTATAGAGTCCTTTTGTAGCTTAGATAATTGGTAGATCTACTCCAGGCTGGATAGAGAAAGAAGTCTTCCTGGAGAGCACCATAACTTGAGTATTAAATAGAAAGCAAGATTTAGTCAGATCAAGAGGTAGGGGAAAGATGAGCCTGGAATTTTAAAGCCATGATAAGTTTCTGGAAGGTCATAATAGTATTTGTGGATATTGAAGTAGATTTCTAACAAGAATTATGTATGATTTTATCTTAGAAGAAGCTTCAGCAAGAGATTGGGAAATTAAATATGATAGGATATGTTAGAGAGACTATCCTGATGTTAAACAGAAATTCAAGTATGAATGGTAGATTTGTTACCTTTTTTTTTTTTTCCCCTTTTTTGGTATCGGGGATCAAACTCAGGACCTTAAACTTGCAAGGCAGGTGTGGTGCCACTGAGCTAAATCCCCAGCCCTAGATTTGTTATTTTTTAAATATTTTTATAAAATATATTCTCTTTAAGGACAGAAATGAGTCCAAAATGGTAAAAAGCCTGAATTACAGAATGCTTTAATTAAATCTGTCTTGTAATCTTGAGTGATCCTAATAAAATGTTGCTAAGTGAGATTATTTGAGGAATACTTACAAATCAATCGATTAAAAATTATGGCAATTTGAATAGCAATTCTGGTATGTAAATATGTTCCAAGTAGAAAGAGATGTAACCTATAGCAAAGTAAATTTATTTCTCATTGTTTAGAACCCTTTATGCTAACATTTCCCTCAGTCAAGTCTTTAAAATCCCTTTTCCTATTAAATTCCTCTCTCACAATTTTTATTTCCTAAACAGACTCTAAAGTTCTTTTCTTTCCCTCTGTCACTGTCTTCCAAACACACATTTCTATTTCCAAATAAAAATCAGTAATTTAAAGGAAATGTATCAAATTCTGATGTAGTTTTCATTAAATTGTAGTAGCCTGACCCTGTGATTATGTGAATTATATTTACTATTCATTGTATATCAGAATCATTGGGTTCATACACTAAGTTTGTAGTCCCTTGTTTTTATTCTTTCTTGGTTAGGTAGTATAGAAATTGTTTCTCAAATCAATTTAGTTTTAAAAAGAGATTGAACAAATCAGTTTTTCTTTTCTGCTTTTGTAGATTTCTTGATAACCGGCTGTTCGCTACCTGCTCTGATGACACTACAATAGCACTATGGGATCTGAGAAAATTGAACACCAAAGTATGCACTTTACATGGTCACACTAGCTGGGTGAAGAACATCGAATATGATACTAATACAAGACTCTTAGTAACATCAGGATTTGATGGAAATGTCATTATTTGGGACACTAACAGGTTTGTGAATAGCAGACTCTGCTAGGATTAATAATAAAACCATTTTTTAAAAGGTAGTGAACACATTCAGTGTTCTGTTCTAGCCTCAAGAAAAATAAGCTGGCTTTAGGAAAGACAATCAAAAGGCGATTCCATCTTTTGTTACTTACACTTAGTCATATGTTGCAGCTAAAAAATAAGAGAAAATTGTATAGAAAGAAGACTAGTATAGCTAATAATGAAAACTGGTTTATAAAATTAGCTTCTTGAGTTTAAGGAAAAATATTTTTGTTATTTTCTTTGTGAAATTAAAATGTGTCTCACTCTGGACCTTTAGTTTTAAATCTGTTTATTTCATAATATTTGTACTTTCTTTTAATGCTTACAAGAGTAGTTCTCATTTGGATTGCTACTGATCTCAAAGGGAATATTTTGAAATGATTTGTGAGGCAGTTGTAACTGTGGGGGAAGAGAGTAGGGTACCTACTAGCATTTAGTTGGCAGTGACCATAGTTTCTAAACATTCTGCTGTACACAGGACAGTTTGCACAGTAGATCTGTTGTCCCATGTAAAATGCCAGTTGTGCTCCAGTTGTCATTTAATGTCCTTACAGAGAAATTGATTATTTGAAGAGTTAAAATTTGAGAAATAATTAAAATATGCCTGTTGCTAACTATGCTAAAATAATTGAAATACTCTTTTTAGGGTGTCATATGCAGAAGAGAATATTCTTAAATATTTCTAGGTACACATATTGTTTAAGTGGAGGATAAAGCTCTTAATTATCTTTAGACAAAGGCAAATACTGTATAACTATTAAAATAAATTTATTATTTATTAAATTTATTAAAATAAATATATTGAGACAAGGTCTCACTATGTAGTTCAGGCTGGCCTCAAACTCAGGGCAATCCTTCTGCCTCAGGCTCCCAAGTACTGGGATTACAGGCATGTGCCACCATGCCCAACTACCTATTAAAATTCAGAGGCAAATGTGTTTAATTTAGAAAGACAATTTGAAAAAATGATAACTTCCAAACTAGTAGAAGATTAAAAAGCTAATAAAACATGATCAGTCCAGTAGAAGTAGAGAAAAAAGGGAGAATCATTTGAAAAACGGGTACAGAAATTAAGCATATATTAGACTACAAAATAGGCCACAAATGATATTAAAGAAATGTTATCACACAAATCTTTGTTTTTAAACTCTATCACACAAACCATTTTTTTTTAAACTCAGAGCAGTTTAGTTAGCACTGGTAATTAAAAATTCCCATGTTCAGAGACTTATACATTTACTTCCTAAGTAATTTTTGTATCAAAGAAGAAAATTATATTGAAGTCATAAGATAAACTAAAAACTGATGGGGTTATTGTAAAAAAACTAAAACTCAAACCAGATGTATAGAAATTATAAAGATAAAAGTACAAAAATAAAATATAGTAAAGAGAATTTTTAAAAGTGTGTTTTTTGAAAAAGCTAATTGCATAGGCCAGTCTCTGATAAGATTTGTCAAAAGAAAAAAGAGGACACAAAAAAGGAGACATAGGGCCGGGGATTTAGCTCAGTGGTTCCGCCACCTGCCTCACAAGTGCAAGGTCCCAAGTTTGGTCCCCAGTACCCCCCCCCCCCGCAAAAAGAGAGAGAGACATAACAAAAAATATAAAATAGACCAGCTTTATGCCAATATACAATACTTGAAAACTTTATGAAAAAAGTACATCTTCACAAAACTGACCAAAGAAGAAATAGACCTTCTTAGCAGGACTGATATTTAACCATTATACACAGATTCAGCTGAAGTAGTTAAAAGCTTGAACTTTTTCCATACTACTTTAATTGATAGTCACTGTCCTGAATCATCCTCTCACACCCTCTCCATACTCCTCTTCTAGGGATACCTTCCTCAAGATCTTCCTGAGTTCCCAGCAGCTGAAGTCTCCCTTTAACTGTAGTGCAATTCCAAGACCCTGTTCTAGCACAGCCATGCACATCTATTGTGACTGGCCACTGTTGGTAAAAAATAGTGGTTATTTAAGTATTTTGAACAGCACTTCTGCTGTAGACATAGAAGAATGAAAAAAAAATCATTTAAAGCTCATCTGCTAATAAAAGAGCAGCCTCATCGGTTTTAAAGATAACTTCTACCAAATATTGCAAATAACATTAACATTTTACTAAGCTGGTCAGATTCCAGTAAAAGGGAATTCTTACCTCAGATATGAAGCTAGTGTGACCTGGATACCCAAACTTAACAAGGTAATATTAGAAGACAAAAATGAAAATCCCAGTATTTTAGGAAGATGATAAGTTTGAGCCCAGTCTGGGCAATTTAGACCTCATCTCAAAAAAAAAGGGAACTTCCTCAACCTTATAAAGGACATTTATGGAAAACCTAGAACTAAAGTCATAAATAATGTAGAAAGACTAATACATTCCAAGATTGGGAATAAAGCTCTCACCAGTTTTATTTAACATTGTACTGGATGTACAGTATTGTTGTGGAGGTTCAATCCAGGCAACAGAGAAAGAGAGACAGAGACAAAGACAGGGAAAAGAAAAAAAAGGGGGAAACATCCAGATTAGAAAGGAAAAAATCCTATAAGCAGATTTGATCCTCTATATAGAAAATCTTAAGAAATCCTCAAAAAAAAAACAACCCAGAAATAATTTCTACTTACAAAGAATGAGCAATCAAGAAACAAAAAAACAGTTTCATTCAAAATCCCATCAAAAAGAATAAAGTACAACATTTGGGGCCGAGGATTTAGCTCAGTGGTTCCACCCCCTGCCTCGCAAGTGCAAGGTCCCAAGTTCAATCCCCAGTACCAAAAAAAAAAAAAGTAATAAACATTTGGACAGTTAGAGGATTTGCCCCATATTAGTGAGGCCCTGGATTTGATCACCAACACACAAAAGTGCATACAAGATTTATACACTGAAAACTATAAAACATTGCTGAAAAGGAACAAGAGTTGTAAATGAATGGAGAGACATTACATGTTCATGGATTGGAAGACTGAGTAATAAGGGCCGAGGATTTAGCTCAGTGGTTCCTCCGCCTGCCTCACAAGTGCAAGATCCCGAGTTCTATCCCCAGTACCAAAAAAAAAACAAAACTGAGTAACAAATATTGACAAGAATGTTGAAAAAATGTAACTTTAATTCCTTTAACTTTAAATTAAATTAATTAAAATTTACATTAATTAACTAACTTTGATTGCCAGTGGGAATGTAAAATGGTACAGCCATTTTAGAAAACAGTTTGGCAGTTTTATTGTAAAATTTTAAAATAGAATTACCATATGATACAGTAGTTCTGCTCCTAGCTATATCCATCCAAGAGAATTGAACACATATGTCTACACAAAGACTTGCTGATGAACGTTTGTTTATAGGAGCATTATTCATCATAGCTAAAAAAGAAATGAAACTAATCCAAATGTCCATTTAGTGGTAAATAGATAAAGAAAGCAGGGTATATATATACAACAATACTGTTTAGGAATAGAAATGAACAAAGTATTGATTTTTGCTATAACATGGGGAACCTTTAAAAGTTATGCAAGTAAAGTGAAATTGCAAAAGACCACTTATAGTATGATTCTCTTTATATGAAATGTCCAGAATTGGCAAATCTATAGAGACAGAAACTATACAAGTGGTTGCCTGGGGCTAGGAATGGGAACAGACAGTGATTGCTGAGGGGAAGAATCTTATTAGGTAAAAATGTTCTAAAACTGGATTGTATTGATTGTACAACATGGTAAATTTACTAAAAATCATTTAATTGTATACTTAAAATGAGTAAATCTTATGGTATGTAAATGTTCCTCAGTAAAGCTGTTAAAATGACAAACAATTAAACAGCAGTAGATACTTATCAAAAGTATACACTGAGAACCTTCAGTACGTTTTTAAAAACAATATTTTTAAAAAATTAAAAAAATTTTTTGGTACTGGGGATTGAGCTTGGGTCCTTGCGCTTGCACAGCAGGCAGCGAAACCACTGAGCTAAATCCCCAGCCCCATTTTTAATGATGAACCTTTAGAAATTTTCTGTGCAGGAAGGAGAATATGGCCGCTATTATTGTTTCCTTATAGTCATGGGTGGAAGGGAGAAGAGTCCCTAGTGTAGTAAAAGAAAGAAAAATATATGTGAAATTTAATGTTATTCACAGATTATATGATTATATAACTGCCAAACTTTTCTAAGATGGCCATACCATTTTACATTCCCACCAGCCATGTACAGTCTAGTAATAAGGGTTCCAGTTTCTCCACATTCTTGCAAACACATGCCAACAGGGGTTGGCAAACTTTCTGTAAAGGACCAAGTAGTAAATATTTTAGGCTTTGAGTACTATATAGTCTCTGAGCAGTCATATATAAATAATACATGGATGGATATGGCTGTGTTCATATAAGCTTTCTTTATAAACAAGTCAGTGGGCCACATTTGGACTGTGGGTCATAGTTTTCCAGCCCTGGTGTATATAAAAATTCTAGAAATTCTTCAGAGAAATTTTAAGAGTTAGTAAGACTTAACCAAGACTCCTAGATACAAGTTATGCAAAACAGTATGTTAAAAATCTTAAAATATATCAACCATATAACCCAGAAGTTCCTCTAGTGGGTATATATTCAAGTGAAATTAAAACAGTAGGTCATAGGATATAGTTCTATGTTCATTGCAGCATACAGTACCCAAGATATGGAGTCAGTGTAAGTGTTCATCAACAAATGAATGTATTTTTAAAATGTGGTACATATATAATCCCAGCACTTGGAAGGCTGAGGCAGGAGGATCGCTGTGAGTTCAAGGCCAGCCTGGGCTACATAGTGAAACCCTGTCTCAAAAAAAAAGTGGTATATATAGACAAAGGAAAACTAGTCAGCCTTCAAAAAGAAGGAAATGTTATCATTTGGAACAACATGGATGGACCAGAGAAGGACATTATATTAAATGAAATAAGCCAGGCACAGAATGACAAATACTGCTTTTATGCAGAATCTAAATAAGTCAAACTATTAGAAGCAGAGACAAGTAAGGATAGGTGAAGAGGGGTCAGAGGATACAGAATTTCAGACCGGAAGAATAAGTTTAAGAGACTGATATTGTACAACATGGTGACCACAGTTAATAATGATGGTGTTGTATACTTGGAAATTTCTAAGAAAGTAGATTTTAAGTGTTTCATCTCAAATAAGTGTGACGATACATGTACTAATTAGCTCAACTATATATATATATATATATATATATATAATTATTATTATTATTATTATTTTTTTAAACATATGGCCTGGGGTTGTAGCTCACTGGCAGAGCACACATTTAACATATACAAGGCTTCAGGTTCAATCCCTAGCACCACAAAAAAGATCATTTTATGTACCATAGATATATACAATTCTTTATTAAAAATTAAAGATTGTTAGCAATTAGATAAGACAAAAATGTGTCCCTCCTAATTACTGTTGTGATTATATCACAAAATTTAAATTTTTATAGTATGTAATTTTTCATTAAAAAGTTGTACATAGAAATAAATTACAGTAGAAGATGTGTAACCTTTAAGGGAATTTTGTAATATTTCATTTAAATCACTGAAGACCTAAATAAAGTCTACATATGAAGAGACTCAAAAACTATAATAAGCATATTTTAAAGTAAAGGGCATAAACTGGAACTCCTTAAAAATGGATTCACCCTTAGGTAGGCCTCATGGCACATGCCTGTAATCCTAGCACTCAGGAGGCTGAGGCAGGGAATCATCTAGAGTTCAAGCAAACCTGGACTGCACAGCAAGACCATGTCTCAAAAAAAAAGGATCCCAGTCAGCTTTAGTTCCCCAGTCTTAAATGAGCAGACAGCCAAAGATAGACATTTGATAAAAACTATTAATACAGAGACACAAATGGAAAGATTTTTTAATAAACAGACAACATAAAAGGGAAGAAAACTTTTTAAACAGTTATCTATGCTGGAAGCACACACTTGTTACTCCAGCCCTCTGAGAGGCTGAAGCAAAATCTCAAGTTCCATCTAGCCTGGGCAACTTGGCAACTTAGCAAGACCTTGTCTCAAAAGAGCTGGGGGTGTAGTTCAGTGGGAACGCCTTGGGTTCAATCCCCAGTACCACCAAAAAAACAAAAACCCTTAATGCTTGAAGCAAACTTGGAATGCAACAGAGGATGGAGAGGAAGTGTCTCAAGTACTAATATTGGTCTACTTAACATGGGTGATGAGTCACAAATGTTCACTTTTCTTTAAGCTCTACACATTTTTTTTCTGTATATATGATATTGTTCATAATTTTAAAAATAAAAAAGAAACAAAAATAGACAAGGTGCCAGGTGTGAAGTTGCCAACCTGTAATCCAAGTTACTCAGCTGGCAGAGGCAGGGGAATTGCAAGTTTGAGACCAGCCTGGGCAATTTCATAAGACCTTGTGTCAAAATAATTTGGGGATGTAGTTTAGCACCTCTTCCTGGGCCCAATCTGTGAGAGAGAGGAAGAGAGGAGAAAAATAAGAGATAGAGACATAAAGAGACTAGACAAATTTTGAAAAAAAAATCACGAAATTTGTTTTAAAAGAAACAGTACAACTATGGAAATTTAAAACACATAGAGCAGACAGTTCAAACATTAGGATAGACTCAGTTTAAAACAATAGATTAGAGGGCCGGGGATTTAGCTCAGTGGTTTCGCCGCCTGCTGCGCAGGCGCAAGGACCCAAGCTCAATCCCCGGTACCAAAAAAACCAAACAAATAAAAAACAATAGATTAGAAAGTAGTTATTAAAATGTCATCCAGGACGTTCTTTACTTTGGTGCTTGGGAAGACCCTGTTTTTGGACCACATTGAGAAGAGCCATTGAAAAGGTCATAATATTGCAGTTCAGAAGAAAAGAACAGAGTTAAGTAGTCAAGAAAATGCCTCCTCTTTGAAATGGATGTACTGGTCTCCAGAGATGATCTAGAAAGTGTTGAAAGTCTTATAAGAGAGTTCATTAGCTATTTGGGCTCACTTATAAAGCAGGTGGTGTTTGAGCACATGGAAGATGCCTTGATCTTAAAGGAAGCATGTGAGTGGGTTGGTCACAAAGTAAAACAGCTAAAGTAAATGCAAAGCAAGAAATTCTCACGGAATGCAGGTGAAAAGGCCAAAGAAATTAAGATACAAAAAGAAGAAAAAGAGAGATGTAGAGGGCCTGTCCAGAAGACATGATGCATGCATAATAGGAATACCTGAAACAGAGGACAAAGCGAATGAAACTGAAACAATAATTAAGGAACTAATTTTAAAAAAACTTGGGCCAGAGATTTAGCTCAGTTGTTCTGCCGCCTGCCCCTCAAGCGCAAGGTCCCGAGTTCGATTCCTGGTACAAAAAAAAAAAACTTTACAGAGTTGAAGAACAAAGTTGGCCTGCAAATGAAGAAGCTCACAAGGAACCTTTAAAATTTAATGAAAAGAATGCAACACCTGGATATATCCTGATGACTTTTAAATTTCAAGGATAAAGAAAAAGTTTTGCAAGTATCTAGACAGAGAAAGCAGGTTACCTATAAAGGACCAAAACTCAGACTGACCTCAGATTTTTCTCTTGCAATTCTAAATGCTAGAAGACAGTGAATAATATCCAGAATTTTAAAGGAAAATACTTGTGAACCAAGAATTATATACTGTACCTTGCAAGTTAGTATTTCTGAATGAAGCCATCTAGAAGACATTGTCAGATACCAAAGGGATAAGAAAGTATATTGACCAAGAACCTTCTCTGAAAATTTTGCTGAATGATGTATTTCAGCCAACAGAAAAATTTAAAAGAGTAGGGACATAATTGTATGAAAGATTTGATAGTAATCATTAAAACTAGTTAAGAAGCATAAAGTCTAAAATTGTTACATATAGGGTAATAAACCTAAATGTAAAATAGATTTGTAAGCTAGATCTAAAATTTTCAGTTTATATAGTTTTAAACTGTCAAAGTACATGCTAAATATTCAATGTATTGGGCAAATACTGTTTTATTTTTTCCATGTAATATTATAGATAAAGATGGATGTTAAGCCAAATGTATGTTAGATAAGCGCCTTGTCATTGTGGGCAGGACAGGTACAGTAAAAACATTCTAAACATTAATTTAACTAAATTGGAAAATGGTACAATGTTATTTCTCTTAAAAAGAAAAACTAACAAGTTCATAATATTAAAACTGATAAGGCAAGGAGAAAATTTCCAAAGCACTGGTTGGAGAAGGGTGGATGTGTTTGAAATATTGAATTGGGAAAACCAGTAATTACTGTATCAAACAGTAGTTCATATAAGTCAATTTGTCACTGAATTGTGGACAAAAAGAGAATATATACATTCCAAGTTTCTAGAATAAAAAAAGTGAAAAAACAAAGAAAAATTAGCAAAAGAAAAACACCAAGGAAGTGTTAACATTTGCATAAAAGCTATTGACAGAGATACAGGTGAATTATACTCAAACTAGTTAAATTCCCAATTTATAAAATCCAATTGAGTAAAAATAAAATCAATCTCTGATCTGAAATATTCACATTTGTATAAAACAAAGGTTAGGAGTGTTTAAAAGTAATAGAAACTCTTTAGGCTATAGAAATGGAGAGGAACTTTTTTTTTTTTTGTACTGGGGATCAAACGGGTCCTTGGGCTTGCGAGGGAGGCAGTGGAACCACTGAGCTAAATCCCCAGCCTGAGAGCAACATTTTTATTAGGGAAAAAAAGTATATTATAAGACATTTTACATTTAAGAGACTATGTTGCATTCATATGTAAGATTTTTGTTCAGTATCTTGATGTGAGTAGTAGTTTTATTGTTGTAAACTGATAAAAATACAGATATCTTTTTTTCTGCCTCATCTTTATTCACTTTTTTCTTCCCTTTCCCAAACATCTATAAAATCAAGCTCACTTGTATATGTGAAAAGAATTTTTTTTCCTTATATTCTTTTGTTTGGTACATTTTAGGTATACAATACAACAAATACAGATATTTTTAAACCCATTTAAAATTAGTCCATTTTATGTACTTACAATTCATCAATTAATCCTTCAGTTAAAGAGAATACATGTAGAAAGGGAAAAAAGTTATCCAGAATACAGCATACAAAAATAAGGAGATAGAATACATGAAAGAGCAATTATGAGATAAGGAGAGTCAAATTTGAGTGATCAGGCATGTGTTTGGAATTCCAAAAGAATAGAGAAAAGGAATGAGGCAATATTGAAATGATTACAGAATTTTCCAGAATATATAAATAACATGTATCTTAAGATTTAGAAAGTCAAATGAATGTCAAAAAGATAAAAAGAAATCCAAATTTACAGATACCAAAGTAAAGCTGTAAAACTCTAAAGACAGAATATCAGCCAGAAGAGGTAATAAAGATAAAGCAACAGATAGACTGATCCAGATTTATAAGTGTTAATAATGGAAGCTCTGGGGATGTAGCTCAGTGGCGCCACACCTGCCAGGCAAGCGGAAGGTCCTGAGTTCGATCACTGGTACTGGGGGAAGAAAGGAAAAGAAATAATGGAAGCCAGAACTCAGTGAAACATTATTCTCAATATTCAGAAAGAAATAATGATCAACTTTAAGTTGTATGCTTAGTTACACCTTTATTCAAAAAGAATGAAATATAAGATTTCAGAAAAATAAAAAGTGATAAAGTTTACCTCAGCAAAGCTTTACTTTAAAAAATTCTGAGGGGTGTACTTCAGAAAGAAAGAGGCTTTTTTAAAAAGAAAAGTCAAAGGTGAAAGGAATAGTGAGCAAAAAAATTGTGATATGTGTAAATCTATACATTGCTATAAATTCTGCTATGAAGGGAAAAGTAATTCTGTCACTGAATCACTGTATTTATGATTACTAGGTTCTGTTGATTTGATTTGTTCTGTAGGTGTACAGAAGATGGGTGTCCCCATAAGAAGTTCTTTCACACACGTTTTCTCATGCGAATGAGATTAACACCAGATTGTTCCAAAATGTTGATCTCAACGTCTTCGGGATATCTCTTGATTTTGCATGATCTTGACTTAACTAAATCTTTAGAAGTAGGCAGCTATCCCATTTTGAGAGCAAGAAGAACTACATCAAGTTCAGGTAAGCTTTTCTTTTTTTGATTAAAAAGAGAGTTTTCTAAAGAATCTGAGACATTAGGGATGGTATGTGATTTCACCAGTGTTGCATTCCAAAAATAGTATCAGGAAAAAGGATTGAAAATTAAAGGTATTCCTTTTTCTTTCTTTCCTTTTTGCAGCACTGAGGATCAAACCCATGGCACTCTACATCCCCAGGCCTTTTTATTTTGAGGCAGGGCTGGCCTTGAATTTGTGATCCCCCTGCCTCAGCTTCCTGAGTAGCTGGGATTGCAGATGTGCACACTGTGCATGAGTAAAAGGCATTCATTAGAAGACTCACTAAAAGCTTTTTTCCAAGGAAGTGTAAAGATCTATGTGTATTTGTGGCATAGCATTTATTTGTGCCTCTGTATTACAAATGGCCTAGAAGAATAACTACTCTTAAAATTCTTTTAGTTTTGTGCTAGCCAGAGAGTCTTTCATCAATACTTCTAAATCATTGCCATCTCAAAAATTAGTGATAGTTCAAGGTAGTATCAGTTTTCCAAAGTCCTGAGGGAACCCAGCAGAACTTTTAAATTATGGTCATTAAAAAGTTTTAGCGTTAAGTCTGTACTATATACCTAGACTTCCAGATGACCAGATACAGGTAGCTGGTGCCATCTTACACCCTCTTGCCAAAGCCCTGTCCCTTCTCCCATTGCTGATTGCATTAGACTTAAGTGATATTAGGGCTTAGAAAATTTTAAGTACTGTATTTTATCAACATGTGATTAAAAAGAATATATTTCATCTACCTTTGAGAAAGACAGGATTGTTCTACGAACATATCTATTATTATAATACTGCTTTTATTAACAAGAAAACAGACTGTTCATGAAGTGCTACTAAAAGATAACTACAGGGGCCAGGGATTTAGCTCAGTGGCGCCACGTCTGCCTTGCAAGTGCAAGATCCTGAGTTTGATCCCTGGTCCCCCCCCAAAAATAAAAGGTAACTTCAAATGATTGGACTATTTCTCCATGATGCATAGGACCACTCCTGAAGACTGTTGAGAAAGTGCAGATGTAACTACTGCAGTTGCCTAATTAAACTTTAAAAGGAGACATTTAAGTTTTACCAACTCACTTGCAACCGATGGTTTTTATAAATATGCAGACATTATCCTTTTGGATACCAACTTGCCTTTTTAAGTTAAACATGAATAACCAACTTTAGCTTAGTGAAAAATAGTGATTTAGAAGGTGCAGTTAACCTTGAAACCAAGAAACTTTGCAGTCTTCTCAGGGTAATCTGATATTAAATAATATCACAGGAATTTAGAATTCCAGCCAGGCATGGTGGTACTCAGTGTGAAGGCCCCAGGTTTAATCCCCAGTACTACAAAAAATAAAAAAGAATTCCCTACGGAAGTTGGGGCTACTGGAAATGTACAAGGAAAACTGAGATTGTATTTGAAGTAATACATCAAACTTGACTATCCAATGTTAATCCTATTTTTTCCACAAATTTTAATGTAAAGTTTTGTATTATATTTCTTTTTTGTTGTTGTTAAATTCTTTTATTGGTACATTTTAGGTATACAACACAATTACATTTCTCATTGGGAATTGTACCTTTACATAATGCATCTTGGATCTTATTTTTTCCCCATTCCTAGCCCTCCCTTCACCCCCTCCACCCTTCCCTATTTACAAAGAATTTATTTCCATTGTTTCCATTTCTCATCATTTTTCCTTTCCCTTCTTTCCTTTCCCCTGCCCCTCCCACTACTCCTACCCCTTTGGACCTTTTCTTCCTATTTTTCATTATTGATTATTCATTCTAATCATTGGTACATTTTAGGTATACAATATAATGGCATTCATCATTGGAAATTTGCACCTTTACATAATCTCTCTTGGTTCTTATTTTTCACCCTTGCCCAGCCCTCCCTTCATCCCCTCCATTCCTCCCTATTTACAAAGATTTTGTTCCTATTTTTCCATTTTCTCATATTAATCCCATTCCCTTCTGTCCTTTCCCCTAGCCCTCCCTCTTCCTTCCCCTTTGCCCCTTTTCTTCCTATTTCACATTACCTATTATACATTTTAGTCCTTATTTACACTTTCAATTTCTCACACGAGAGAAACTATTTGGTATTTATACATGTGTGTCCCATTTATTTCACTTAAGAGTATCGCCTCAATGTGCATCCACTTAGCTGTAAATGTCTCTAATTTCTCATTTTTTATGGCTGAGTAGTACTCCATTTTAGTCAAAAACCACATTTTCTTTATCCAGTCTCCAGTTGATGGGCATTTGGGCTGTTTCCAAGTTTTAGCTATCACAAACTGTGCTGCTATGAACATGGGCGCACATATATCACTGTATTATGATTCTTTTAATTCTTTGGGGAAGATCCCCAGCAGTAGAATAGCGGGGTCAAATGAGACTTCCAGTCCTAGTTCTTTGAGGTATCTCCATACTGATTTCCACAGTGGTTGCACAAGTCTACACTCCCACCAGCAGTGGAGCAGGGTTCCTCTTTCCCCACAGCCCCGCCAGCATTTGTTATTGGTTGATTTCATGATAGCAGCCATTCTTTCTGGAGTGAGGTGGAATCTCAGCATTGTTTTCATTTGCATCTCTCGAATGACCAGTAATGTTGAGCATTTTTTCATGTATTTATTTGCTATTTCTACTTCCTTGTCTGAGAAATGTCTGTTCATTTCAGATGCCCATTTTTGGATTGGGTCTTTAAATTTGGGAGGTCTGATCTTGTATTGTATTTTATAGGTAGTAGTCACATAATTTCAGAAATTACAATAGGGCCGGGGATTTAGCTCAGTGGTTCTGCCTCCTGCCTCACAAGCGCAAGGTCCCAAGTTCGATCCCCGGTACCAAAAAAAAAAAGTTTACAATAGAAGTTTTGTTATGCTTTAAAACCAGTAATGGACCTTTATTGGACCTGTTATTCTCCATTAAACAACAAGGTAAACAGCTCAGCTTTCATTTTCATTAAATTTTATTACTCTGCTTTAGTATGAAAATTATAGGAAGCCAAAGATGTTCCTATGCTTATTTGTTTTTTTATTTTTATTTCACATAAGCAAGTCTTTGGTATAAAAAATTTAGAAAGGGCCTACACCTTAACAGTACATTTCAGAGAACTGTCCTGATTTTTCCATCTTACTTATAGCCTAGTTTTATGTGAGCTCTTTGTGGCCATATTTTAGGTGGATTTTTAAAGTATAGTTCAAGTTGATAATTAAAAAGTTAAACACTACCAGTGTTATGTTACATTTATTGTCAAACTCTGTATCTTCAAGATTTGACCAGTTCATCAAGTTCGTCAGGTCCTAGAGTTTCTGGTTCACCTTGTCATCATAGTGATTCTAATTCATCTTCAGAGAAACATGTGTCAAGAGCCTCTCAAAGAGAAGGTAAGTGAAAAGCTGGATTTTATAATCTTGTAACAACAGATTCTACCAAATAACTTTTTTTAAATTTGGTTTTAATCCACAAAAATAAAATCTAACAGAGATGAGGCTATTTCTTATCCCTAGTCATCATTTTCCAAAAGCTACCCATCTTGTGTTTAAATCTTTGATAGAATTTGAGCTTTGGTTTTATTACCTGGGCCAAACTTAGTTTGGTCTGGTTTGGAGAGGAAGCAGTTGGGAAATGCAGATTCTAATCAGGATTGTTGTGAAAATTAAATGAGAATGTATATGAAAGTACTATATAAATATAAGGAATTAATTTATCAAGTGATTTTGAAAGTCACCTGATATTTCGCTCTGGAGGCCTTTTGCTCTACCATTCTTTTCTGTGCATTGCCTGACAGTCTTAGAGGAGCTGTGAGATAAGGTGAGCTCTAATCTGACCCACTTGTATCTGCCAGTCCTAGTCATTCTGGCAGAACCGGCTGCTCCACTGTCCCTTTTACCTCCTAATTGAAATATTTTCTACCTATACAAATCTACTACTACTGTCTCTCTCTATTAATCCAAATCTAAGCTCTTATTGCATTTGTTATCTTCCTCTTTTAGGATTGATTAGTATTGACCAAGTGTGTCTTTTTTTGGGTTATTTTGGGCCACCCTTTAGAAATGGGCACATCTCTACTTCAATATTTAGAGCACCATTAGAACTCTTATTTTGGGGATAAAATCTGCTCTGGATTCTCAGTGATGTAGCACAAATAAAACCAAAGTAGCTCATGCTCAAGTGAAATTCATCTTCCAGTTTTCCTTTCTGCTTTTCTGCCTGGTTTCCTGCATGGTTCTTCCTTCTGTCAACTTCCACAGAACCTCCAAAGAGTACAAATAGCAAACAACTACTGCCTACCTATTTAGAGTATCTTTCTTTTCTGCTTTTGTTAGAACTTCACAAAATTAATTCCTAAAATAGGAGTTTTTCTTTAAAATTATTAAAATGCAGTCACATGTGTAAACATTATTTAGGTATAGTATGATTGTAGTAGTTTGATTTACAGCTTCATGGGTTTCTGTCAATGATGTAGTAATCTAAAGTGGATCTTTAAAATAAGATCATGCATTTGCTTGAAAATATGAAATTCCTAAGCTGCTTCCTTACAATATCTGTGGAAATATTCTCTTCATACCTAAGGAATATGTCACTCCTCTAAGTAACAGTGACTTACTGCTGATGTCGTTTTCATTGAGGGGCTGGGTAGAAGGAAATGCTGGGACACTGTACAATCACCAGGAGGGTATATGATTGACAGTGTCTCCCATTCTTTATTTTGACTTGCCTTTATGTAAAGTGTCTTCTCTCACCTCCAGAATTATAGCTTTATTTGTTGTTTATAGTACAGACAGTTCCCAATTTACAGTAGTTCGATTTAGGATTTTTCAGCTTTACAGTGGTACAAAAATGATATGCATTCAGTAGAAACTGTGCTTTGAATTTTGATCTTTTCTTAAGTTAGCAATATGCAGGATGATACTCTTTCATGATGCTGAGGTGTAGCTCCCTGTAAGCCATGCAGTCATGAGAATAAACAACATGTGTTCTATAATACACTGTGTGACTGTGCTGTGATATTTGGTAGGTTAGGTGTATTAAGTGCATTTTTAACTTAATGATGGTTTTTCTAACCCCAGTAAGTAAGTAGAGAAGTAGAGAAGCATCTACACTGTCCTTTGGGATTTTAAGTCCTGATTCTTTTATATACTAAAGGCAATTGTCCTGGCTTCCTATATTTTCTTCTTTGCCCTACAGAGCACTAAGTCCTCTGAGATGAGAATTGTTATTGTTTCTAGTCTCCTATATCACGTAACTATGGTTCTTTTTGTTTTTCTTTTTTGAGGCAGGGTCTCACTTTGTAATTCAGGCTGGCTTTGAACTGTGTAGCCTAAACTGGCCTCAAACTCGTGGTAATTCTCCTCCCTCAGCCTCTTGAATGCTGGGATTACAGACTTGTGCCACCATGTCCAACATAACTGTGCTTCTTAATAAAGAATTTTCTCTCATCCAAGTACTAACCAGGTCCAACCCTGCTTAGCTTGTGAGATTGGGCACAATCAGGGTGGTATGGCCGTAGACGTGATGCACGCCTGTAATCCCAGCACTCGAGAGGCTGAGGGAGGAGGATTTTCACAAGTTCAAGGCCAGCCTGAACTTGAGACCCTGTCTCAAAAAATAAATAAACTTTCTGAGATGTAGATCCAATAAAAAGGACCCCTACTCAGCTTTCATGCCTGAAGTGCCTGGTGATTTCTATTACAAGACTTCAGGATTTTTTTTTTTTTTTTTTTTTTAAGACTAGGACTTGCTGTGTAGTCCAAACTGGCCTTGAACTCACAGCAGTCCTCCTGTGTCAGCCTCCTGAGTTCTGGGATTACAGGCCTGGGCCACCATGCCCAGCAAGATTCTTTAGTTGTAGTGATAGTCTTTCTTCATGCCCCCACTCCAAAAACACATACCATATATGGGGGGGGGGGGGACATCTTCTTTTACATGTGGTAGCATAAAGGACAGACTAAGGGTTAAAGCATGGGATACAGCTGCCAGAAATCTTAGTTTTGATTGACTACTTTAGTCTTTGAATAATACAAATGCAAAATTTTCATTTTCTTGTATTTCAGGAGTTTCACCACGAAACAGCCTTGAAGTCTTAACCCCTGAAGTTCCTGGTGAGAGAGATCGTGGAAACTGCATTACATCCTTACAACTGCACCCCAAAGGCTGGGCCACGCTTCTTCGGTGCTCAAGCAACACTGATGATCAGGAGGTATAGACAACAGCCCTCCACCTTCAGCAGGGTTCATTGGACAAATTGCCATTGCCATGTGTGAAGACCTTAGGCTGATCACTACATATAGTCTCTACCCTCAAGGCCACATTGTCATAGACCCTGCTTCTCAACTCTGCTGTTCTGTTCTCTATTGAGTATATTTATTCCTTGCAAATTTGTCTTCCTTCTCTCCTGCCTGGGTATAGTGAACTGGGAATTACTCTAATGGCCATCATCAATTCAGACTGTGCCTACCTTCTTAATTTTTGCTTTCTTTATCTCATTCTTAAAAAATAAAAGAATATGTAAAACAAAAAGCCTTTTATAGTAAGCATAGTGCTGAGATATTTCAGCCAAGCTGGCTAAATGAGAGGTTTTGGTAAGTCAGTTATAATTTTCTCTTTTTAAAAACCGAAGGAAACTGGGAAAGGAAGGGACTAAACATGACAAGGGGTAAAGGTTAAATGACCTTAGTATTGTCATCACTGTAGAAAGAAAGAGCTTTCCAAAAGATATTACTGGTTTGGGAAATTGAAAGGAGTGAAGAGGAGCCTTTGAAATGTGTATGGGAAGAAGTACTTCAGGGCTTGAGAGTACCCAGGAATTTTTAAAATATCAAAATTGTTATTGCCATCAAAAAAGAAAATGTATTACTACAGAAGTCACAGGCAGCCTCTGGAATCAAAAGGCTTAAAGCATCATAGCACAGAATAACTTCAGTTTATAAAGCAAGAAAGTAGCTTACAAGTTTTGTTTTTCTTTATTTTGGTTTGTTGAAACAGGGTCTTGCTATTTAGTTCAGACTGGCCTTGAACTCACTATGAACCCTAGGCTGGCTTTGAACTCATGGTGATTCTCCTGCCTCAGCCTCCTAAGTGGTGGGATTACAGGCATGTGCCACTACACCCAGCACTGGAATTTACAAGTTTTGTTAGGATGGGGACAGTAGTCATCTGATTGATTTCTTGCAATAATTTCATGACTTTGGCAATCTGTTGAGGCTTTCAAAAATTAAGAGATATCTGTAGCACTGTTTGGGGCTCTGTAACCTTGGTTTGTCTCCTTTCTCTCCTCTAGTGGACATGTGTCTATGAATTTCAAGAAGGAGCTCCAGTGCGACTTGTCTCACCTCGGTGTTCCCTACGACTGACTCATTACATTGAAGAAGCCAATGTAGGCAGGGGTTACATCAAAGAACTTTGCTTCAGCCCTGATGGGCGAATGATTTCTTCCCCACATGGCTATGGAATTCGCTTGTTGGGATTTGACAAACAGTGCAGTGAACTTGTTGACTGTTTACCCAAAGAAGCCAGTCCCCTGCGGGTGATCCGTTCTTTGTATTCTCATAACGATGTGGTACTGACGACAAAATTCTCTCCAACACATTGTCAGATTGCCTCAGGGTGCCTTAGTGGACGGGTCTCTTTGTATCAGCCAAAGTTTTAGGCACAACTTACATCAAATAAGGAACTCTTGTGGCATTGGACTTGATAAATTACTTCAATTTAGGTGAAGTATTTTCTTAGAAGATCTGATAAGATTGAGTCAAGACCCTGGTTCATATGGGTCCATGAACATCCCTGTGACCTGAGTACTTGGTCACCCAGCATCATACAGGCGTGTTGAAGCTAGACTCTATGCAGCACCATCTTTTTTTTAGCATTCCTCTGCTCCTGCTGATCTGTGCCACTGAACTCCAGTTCTTCTGGTTACTTTGCTTGGTAGCTCTTGTTAAGTTTCCTTGTTCTCTCCTTTTTTCCTTCCTATGCTCCCTGCCTGCCTTCTCTTTTTTCTCTTTTTTGGTTTTAGTATGAATTTTGTGGACATTTGGCGGGAGTTTTGGTTGGGATACAAGAAACCTTTGATGCATTGAATAAAATCCAGAAGTTGGATGTTAGCATACCGATTGTTGAAAAAGAAATGTCATCTTCATTTATCAGTATACTTGGCCTTTTAAAGTTGCTGTTTTATATATATATATATATATATATATATATATATATTGAGCACAGATAATTGTATTATTCTTACAACTGTTAGTCTTACAACAAAATATCTTCCTGTTTCCTGTTAAAATCATACAATATTTTTCATGTTGCCGAGATTTTGTTGTGAAAATCCAGAAAAAATATTACAACTTCTTTGTAACTTATTTGTATGAATCTAAAATGTCTAAAATGTGTTCTTACTTGGTATTTTATTTCTGTCAACAGCACTAGAAAGGAAAGGAAAAGGGATGGGCTTTAGTCATTCTGATGTACAGAACAGGATTTATTTATTAAACTAGTACAGTATCTGGCCACAGAGTGATGAGAACAATGTGACTTAGATTTTCTGTGTTTTCTCTGCCAGATTCTTTGAATCACACAGGATGGTATGTTATCAGTATTGGGCTAGAAGGGAAATCAAGAGTAAATATGTGGTATTGTGCTCAGTCTTTCTTCCTTGAGGCAGGGGCCCTATGCTCAGTCTCTCACCATTAGTGAATGGAAAGCAGCAGTTGTCTTCAAACTGTTGTCATAACCCTGATAGTCAGTGACTTCATGTCAAAGCCAAGCATTGATATGAATCCTTTTTTTGTGTTTTGTTAAGGAACACAGCAAGTAAAAACATCAGGTAAGGGCAAGTATGAGGCTGCTGCTCTGTTGAATAGGCAGCTGTCTTCCGGTCTCCATGTTGAAGGACATTCATTATATTTAGAAAGGATATGCCAGAGGCTGGAGTAATTTAAGTCCTCTGCTAGGCTTGCCCTTGTAGGTCACATACTCTCGGCCATTAGTTCTGAAATATAAGGGTGCATTATAATCTTTGAAGAGCTTGTGAAAAATTCAAAAACCTTGGCCTTACTTTAGGAGATTCTGATTCAGGCATGGAGAGGACAAGAATCTATCTCTTTTTTTTTTTTTTTTAAGCAGGAATCCCACATAGTCTTTATTCAAGTGATCTCCGGATCACAATTTGAAAAATACAACCTTAAATTTCAGTAAGTATACCCATCTGGTGCTTAATACAATCCCCACAGGCATTTTTATTAGTTAAATAAAAGTAAATAAATGAAGACAATTTTAGAAGAAGAAAATAACTTCGAATGGTACCATTTGCATTATTTGACAAAATAGAGAAGTGACTTGCCTAAGGTAAGCCTGCAAAGTTAGTAGCAGAGCCAGGACTGGAATTCAAGTCTCCTAATTCTGTGCTCAGGATAATTCTACTATATTATGCTGGATGTTAAAATCAACACCTTGTGAACGCTTTGTCTTTTAAGTTGTATTATTGTGAATATCCTTAAACTAGCCAGTAGATTGAAAAAGGAAGGCATGAGAGTAGATGCTGAAAATTCTAGTCATAAGAAGGAAAGTGTTTTATATTTAATAGAAGTGTTTAAACAACCCAAATACATGAATTAAAATGATACTTCTTTATAGGACCTGCTGAACAGCCATTCACATACATATATAGAGGTACATCTCACATGGAATAATATTGGCCCCAGGACAAATTTTTTAAAGTAAATCGTAGTACCTAAAAATTGGAAATTCTGTGGTCATTGAAAAAATTACCACAAAGCACAGGAAACATACAAACTTGCCAAAAAATTTTGTTAAACAGAAAAAACCCCACTTAGGGCCAGGGATTTAGCTCAGTGGTTCTGCCGCCTGCCTCACAAGCACAAGGTCCCAAGTTCGATCCCCAGTACCAAAAAAAAAAAACCCACTTATTTAAAATATTAGTTTTGAAGGTAAAAATAAAAAACACCCAAAATGTTATCATTAAAAGTAAGCCATAGCTTCTCGGCTTTTGGCGAAGATCAAGTGTAAAAGTAAGCCATGAAGTACAATGATCAAATTGACATTCAAAAGAAGATTCTATAAATTTTATCAGCTTTGGAAAGCATTCCATGTCAGATGCTGGACAAGTCAGATGTGTCCTAACTAAATTCAGCCAATGATTCTTGAACCACTATAGAACACTTGTAGTATGCTAATGTACCTTCTTTACTACCAACCCCCACATAAACCTTGCAAGGTAGGTAGAATGTGCCCCAAATTACTTTGGAGGTAATGATGAGTCAGAAAGATTATATGACTTGCCTGAAATTAGAAACCCAGGTATGGCTATTTGTTTTAGTTTAAAAAACGTGTTACTATGCCATTTTGATCTTAGTTTGTAAAGGATGATAAACTGACCTGTTAATTTCCTTGTTTAATATCTTCTGGAAGGTTTTGTTTGTTTTTTGCTTTACAACACTGGCCTTATTTTCTGTACCATGTGAAAGAATATTTACAATACTGACAGTTTCCATGAGAATGAATACCATAATCTCAGGGCAACCAGATAATCCATTCCTAACTTTAAAAAACCCTCAAGCATTATAAGCACCTGAAATAGAAAAGAAAATGGAAAAGCACCATAAAAATACAGCCACACAGATGAGAATTACAAATTAACCACCACAAATTCAACAAAAAAACCCTTTGCCCTCCTTGAGGTATAGTCATGACAAAAAGTCATTAGGGAATATTAATCAAGGAATTAAAGGGCATTAGGAATCGTATACTATTGGAAGGAATTAGACTTTCCAACATCACAGTATATTTTTTACTCTGAATTTTATTGTCTTTTTTTTTTTTTTGGTACTGGGGATCGAACTCAGGTCCTTGCGCTTGCACAGCAGGTGGCAAAACCACTGAGCTAAATCCCCAGCCCCCATATTCAGTCATTTTTATTCATGATAATTGGTAAATCTATTATAATTGGTAAATAGTATAATTATTGGTAAATATATAAGTATAAATTGTTTCTATGTTTTTAAAAGGTTTTTCCAGAACAGTATATTTGTGAGAATGCTATGTTGAATGAGTTGGGCACATCAAATACACAGTAGTTCCTTGCTTTCAGTTGTGAAAAGAAGTGGTTAAAGCAAAATTCTATTTTAGTCTTTTAAAAATATGCTTGGTCTTTTTGCCCATCAGCCCAAAGGATGTATATTTTGTTCTTTTTCTTTGTTACAACTGGGAGAAGAGGCCATACCAAAAATTTTATGAAAACAAGCAAGGAAAAGGTAAATCACATGTTCCCTGCTCCTATTTAGAACCAAGATCACATTGTATAATTTTTTAAGGTTATGTTCTCTGGAAAGTGCAATATAGGGAAAACACTGATTCTTTTAGAAGTCTAGTGCTTCCCATACTATTCCGAAGATATGGTACTGGCATCTATAGGTATCTGTTCAACTTGCATTTCACAGGAGAAATAGTCTGATAACTTACTGAATGACAATCATCTGCATTTAATGACCAGAAGTCACTGAGTGCTATGAAAATCCACTCAATAACACCTGTGTAGGTCATGAAGGAAACCACATAAATGAATTTTGTATAGCTGATACATATCTCTTAAGTGCCAAAATTTAAAACTTGTAGTTATTTTTGATGCAAGTCTTTCAGGTATGTTAATGTACCTCCCTGCCTTCTTAGCATGCTCAGTATAATTCACTAAAGTTATATACATAATGTATTATTAAAAATACCCAGTGAGCTCTGATGTATATAAATATTTCATAAAATATAAAGGGCTATAACAAATATGAGTTAATATCTTCAAAGAGATTCCCTCAACTTTGAGGTATATATAATCATTTGCCTCCAATTGCTAATTTTTTCATGTTTTAATATCTCCTAAGTAGTGTGTTCAAACAACATGCCTGCCTCTAACATTTTTCTTCTAATGTGCTGTGTCCGTCTGTTATGAGCTGGGACATAAGATAATCAAGCCTGTTCAGTGTCTGCAGTACGAGCTAAACAAACTGGGTGCACAATCTGTGAGACAGCATCGTTGGTTGCTTTCCATTTACCTTCTGGATAATAAAAGATCCCAGTTAAAGCCTAGGCTAGTGATTTTTCAGTTGCAGCTTAAGTAAGATACTACAAACTAAGGAAGGGTGCTGCTACATCAAGAAATAAATAGCAATGTACCAAAGTACAGCAAAGCAACAACAAAAGTTCTTTATTTGCACAAGGGGTCTTTTATGCATTTAAGAAAGAAAAAGGAAGGGTACAGGAAAATAAATCCAGATGGATTTAAGACTATTTTAGACGCCATTAACTTTGTCAATAACCATTAAAATATATGCTTAAATTATCACATGTTGTTACAAAGACAGTTTAGTCTGATTGTACTAAAATTTATATCCTAGAGATGATTCTAAGTGATGTTCTAAGAGTTTTTCCCATCCAAGTGATAATGGAAATTATTATTGAAAGAAAAGTGTCTGGTTTACCTTCATGCTGCTCTCTTTAGTTGAAAATTAATAATAGAGATATATGGGTTTTATCAGAAGCTCCGAGGAGCACATTGCACATACACACACCTCCTATATGTATGTGTATGTAAATGTCACTGTAAATGAAAATGTTACCCAGAGATAATAAAGTAATTTTTAAAATTTAAATCTGGTCCAAAGTCTTTAAAATAGGTTGAATTTTCAGCTTTCCTAAGTTTCTTCCTCATTTAGATTTCATGGCTTTTACACTGAAGAGTGAATATTTGAATTTTCTCTTAAATTTCACTGCATCCTTCATTTCTAAACTGTGCTTTCTGGTAAATTTTGGATTCATATTTTTCACTTGGATTGTTCCAGATAATATGCTAGATACCCAGAAAGCTTTCTTAGATTCTAAGGTGCTGTAAGTTCTTATGCTAGACTGTAAGCTCCTTGAGAGCAGGGACTGTCTTATTTATTCTTACATTCTCAGTGCCTGATACAGTACCTGACACAGAGTAGTTGCTCAATAAACATTTGTTGAATGAACCTTACCATATGTGGTCTCAAGTTCCCATGATGCAGAAATGTGATGTGCAAATTACTAGAGGAATCCATCATTTACAGTGATACCTCAGTTGTTGAACTCTATTCATTCCAAATTCGTGTCCAAACACTGAAAAGTTTGAGAACTGGATGTATTTTTCCCATAAGAAATAATGGAAAACCAAATACAGTATATGTTGTCTGAGTGAGAGCAGCACTTAAACTGAAGTGTCACCCCTTTGTGTCCCCAGAGAGACGTGATATGTGACTCACTTGGCCCTTCCAGGTTTTTTCAGGTCAGATATTTGGCTCAACCAATGAGCAAAGTTACAAACACCAAGCAGATTTTTAACTTTGCTATTTGAGTAGTGGAAAGTTCAAGCTTGGAGCCATTCAATAACCAAGGTATTAAAAATTAGCAGACTGTCCTCATCAAGCTGATTTATTCTGATTACTAAGCATTTCTCATTGATTTGGAAAGCTGCAAATTAAGAGTTTTTCATTCAACAAACGCTTGAATCTTACTGTATGCCAGTGTAGTATTAGGGACTCAAGATAGGAAGATAACTAAGGTCTTGGTATTCCATAGTGGCAGTTGAAATAGCTTTAGGGCTGGCTTTCCAGCCTTCAGGTGTTGAGCCTGTGCAGTCATATAGGACTCCTCACACATAGAAAGACCTCATACAGTGACTTACGAACTCAATTCATTCACGAAGGCTGCTTGTAAGCTGGTCAATGAGGGCTCAGCCTCATCTACACAGCCTTCCAAGTCTTTCTTCTGTATATGGGCAGATCTCAGTGTCCTTAGACATTGGCCCAGGATTTCTCAACCCCACACGGGAAAGGATGTTGTTCCTTCCAGAGCTGTTTAAGGGTTAAATCTATCTAAGACCATCTGGAAGCACAAGTGGCTGGCATTCGAGTCATGACTCAAGACTTTGGTCATAAGTTAAAACTAGAATTCTGGTCATAACCTCAATTGTTTATATGTCAGCCTGGTCATAACTCAAGGGTCCACTTTACTTGGTTTAGTATTCTGATACAGTCTTGAAAAGTTTCAGAAAAGCGTTTCACAATTTTATTTTGACTTGGGCTCACAAATTCGGTAGTTGGTATTACTTAGATATTAATCATTTAGACATTTTAGAAATTATAAGAGTTATAGTGTCTTCTACCACCTTCTAGAAAAGATATTCACAGTCATTGAAAACTAGCTATAAAGTGCATGCTACTTTGAAATATTTTACACACTTTTTATGTGTAGTTAACATGTTTAAAAGGTTGATGTCAAAATTATATTTACTAGGAGTTTGAAAAATTCTTTAATTTTTTATTAATAAATTTTGTTATCCCATTCCCCCCAAACCCCCTCCCCGCCCTATGTACAAAAGCTTTGTTTCCATTTTTTCCTTCTATTTTCACTTTTTTTCTTGTCCCTTCCTTTGGAAATTTTGGTTTTAACTACATGGGTGTGTGGATTCTTAGATCAAAATCAAGCTGTGACAGAGGCAATGCTTAGAGATTGCTGTTAGTGATACTCTTTTTTCAACCATGCAACCCTGTCAGAAAAAAATATTTACCAAATTTTGATTATAAATTATAGTATTGTAGTGATCTATTATATACATATAAGCATATACAAAGAAGAAACTTTTAAAAGGATAAGATATTTTAAAATCAAGGTTCTAAATGTCTTCCTGAATGTTCAGGGATGAACTTTGCTTTGCACATTTCATTTTGTAGGGCACTCTCTAAAATACAGAGTTAGCATTTTACACTAAAAATATATTTTCTAACATCTCACCTCAATTAATGTCCTGGCTATTTACAAGTTTAATTGGCATGCATCGTGGTTTTTGTAATTTTAAAACTCAGTTCTTTATCCAGTGAAAATTTTATTCTTATCAATGGGAAGTACAGTTAATAAATTCTCTCTTTTATTTGTCAATACAGTGAATTTCATATAAATTTAGAACATGCTATTTTAGTTTTCCCTAGCATAACATTTTTGTGTTGTATTATTTAACATTGTGACTGATTGTTCATTTTATCATGTTATTTTCATTCATCAGGATAATGTCAGTCATGGGACAGTCATTTTTTTTGGTAAGTCACTAAAGAAAAAATAGAATGAATCAGCTAGGTTTAGTGGCATGTGCCAGTAGTGCCAGCTACTTGGGAGGCTGAGGTGGGAAGATTACTTGAGCCTAAGAGTTCAAGGCCAGCCTACGCAACATAGCAAGACTCCATCTCAAAAAAAAAGAAAAAAGAATCTCAATTCAGATTATCTTGTCAAATTGATTTAACCACTGAACCAATTTTTACTAAGTTATCTCTGACTGACATTTGGGGCTATTTAAAAATAATTTTTTATTGAAAAGGAAATGATTATTGACACACATTAATACTAATCAGTGTTGTATATTAGTTTCCTATTACTGCTATACCTAATTACTGCAACCTTGATGGTTTAAGTCAACAAAAATTTATGTTACTCTTCTAGAGTTCCAAGATATAGATTTCTAGGTGAAAACCAACCCATCAGCAAGGCTGTGTGCCCTGTGGGGGTGCCAGAGGAGAATCATTTTTCTTTCCTTTTTCCGCCCCTTCCACCCTTCAAAGACACCAGCATAGCATCTCCTGATTTTGTTGTTGTTGTTGTTTTTCCCAAGACAGGCTCTCACTATGTAACATTGGCTGGCCTTGAATTCACAGTGATCCTCCTGGCCTCTGTTTCCCAAGTGCTGGGGTCACAGGCTTGTGTCACCATGCCCGGCTAGCATCTTCTGTTCTCTTTCCTACTCACATTCTCCTGCCTCATCCTTTCACTCACAGTGACCTTTGTGATTACATTGGGACCACTGCATCATCCAGAAAATCTTCCTATTTTAAGACCAGCTGATAAGTAAATTTAATTCCATCTACAACCTTACTTACCCCTTGCCTTGTGACATCACACACTCACAGGTCCTGGGTATTAAGGATATGGACATCCTTGAGGGGCCTATTATTCTACTTGCTTTCTGTGTTGTATACTGTGTACTAGGTTTACTGTTTCACATGGATTACTTAACCCCTACAACATTCTTATGAAGTAAGTACTGTTATTCCATTTTACAGAGGAAGAAACTAAGACTAATTTACCTGAAGTCATATAACTAGGAAGTTTCAGCACTAAGCTCATACTCAAGACTATCTGACTACATGACCAATCTTCAGTTACTATAGTGCTTTGACACCTTGTTGAGAAAATGTTCACTGCATTCAACCTATTGCAGTGATGGATAATCACACTGGAAAATAAATGTATTACAGATTTACTGTATAATTAGGTAAAATTCTAATATCAATCCAAAAAGATTGAAAAGCCTCTAATGTATTGAGGGTGAATAATGTTTCCAGAGTTGTAATCTAACATATAAGTGCTTTTCTTCCTCAGACCATTTCCTACTTTTGGTTAGCTGTTTTGGTTTATCCCTCTCATGTCGTCTTTCAAAACTAATAACTACTTAGAGAATCAGTCTAAAATAAATATTCAAAAGCTGGGCATGGTGGCATATACAAGTTATCTTAGCACTTGGAAGGCTGAGGCATGAGGACTGGGAGTTGGAGGCCAACCTGCACTACATAGTACATTCGAAATTAGCCTGAACTACATAGCAAGACCCTATCTCAAGATATAAACAAGTGGCGCCGTGCCTGCCTGGCAAATGCAAGGTCTCGGTACACCGCCCCCCGCAAATAAGTAAAATAAAACAGGCATGAAAATCATGACACACATGTACAATTATGGAAATTACCTTCACTTAGTTACTGTATCTGTACTGCGGAGCTGGAAAAAATCCACAATATTATCAAAGGGCAAAGACAAACAAGTTTAAAACTTTTTAAGGTTTGAGTCTTCCAGAGCTATATTCTAAAATCAGTCCCCCCCACCCCCGGCTCCCCCTCTCCCTCTCTCTCTCCCTCCCTTTCTTCTCCTACCCTCCTGCCCTGTGCAAGGACTGAACCTAGGGCCAGGGCCTTCATACTGATCTATGTCCCAGCTCTTTTTGTTTTCTTTAAAAAAAGTTCTTAAGGGCTGGGGATTTAGCTCAGTGGTTCCACCGCCTGCCTTGCAAGCTGAAGGATCCGAGTTCGATCCCTGGTACCAAAAAA